TGAATGCATGCAGGTACTGGAGGGAGAAGCAAGAAAGAGGACAATGGTTCTAAACACTACATTACTGTTACACTGCTGTTTCTTAACATAACTAGGCAATGTGCTGCAATGTTATATGTAGGGTAGGCTACATGTACACTGGATATTGGTATTCAACCCAAATTTTCTGCCAGGTTGTGGCGATAACCGGGCCGAAATACCTGCAGTGCTGTATACCAGTAGTAAGCCTGTATGTCCTTGTGTCTTTAATTTTACTGAAAATTGTATTTGCGATACGCATTATTATCCTGAGTATTAAGGAGCACTGAACGCTCGCAGATTTGTGTGGAAATCACCTTCTTTTCATCATTAAAGGTATAGTATATGAACAGGATGCCATCCTTGTTGCCTTCTGCTCCTGAGAATTGCTCCAGTGCAAACTGCACATCCAGCCACTTGTGAGGCTTCCAGTCCCTCCACCACTGCATGGAGCCCTTTTTCACCCAAACAGACTGAAGGAGGTGAAAGAGGAAGAGAAGATAACAAAACTGAAAGATAAAGTAAATACAGGACACATTCAGCCTTTAGGTTCGATTCACTGACAGCAGCACCTGTTCAATGGCCTGTTCATAATGTTTGAAGTTTTCCATCTCTCTCTTTGACCTCTCGCTGAGCTGTTCAAAGATCTGCTTGCGCCAGGCTGCGGTCTGCGCAGGTGTGATGGAGAGCGACATGGCCTGCATAGAGGAGGCCAGACCTGCATAGAGAGGATCTATGTACTTCATCCTGTCAAGATTTCGTGGACACTTAGCTTTTCAAAATCTTTTAAAATAAATTTTCTTGGTCTCTGTGCAACAGTTTAATATATTAAGGACTAGGCAGGTTTACATTTTGTTGAAAACAATATGACCGTAACTTAAAAACAAGTACACTAAACATAGTTACTACTATAGTCACTGAATAATTCATAGTAGTTACTGAATAATATGGAATAATAAGACAAGAATTTAAAGTGTTAAGCAGCTCTAACACTGAATACAAGTGCTGTGCCTCTTACTGGATGACCCTGGGAGTTGTGGAGCTATTCAGACATGTCATTTAATCCATCCATCCATCCATCCATCCATTTTCTCTGCCACTTATCCTGTATCCTATCTCAGGGGACGAGGGGGACATCCTGCCAATCCATCACAGGGCACAATTGCACACACATTCTGGACAATTTCGAAGTGCCTACAACGCATGTCTTTGGACTGGATGAGGAAACCCCCGAAGCCTGGGGAGAACATGCAAACTCCATGCACACAGAACCCCCAACCCTGGAGGTGCGAGGGTTAGCAACAGTGCTAACCACTAAGCCACCATGCGCCCCTGTCATCTAATCTCACAACCTTCTGATCAGTAGGACAAAGTCTTAACCACTGAGCTGCCACCACCACCCAATATCTAAATCCTAAATATTGCTAATACAAAACAGAAATATAAACATTGCTAAGACTAAAAACATCTGAGACAAGCAGCTGACCTGTGGAATTGAACCAGGGGAGCTGGGAGTGGGAGTCAATATAGCAGCCTCCTCCACTAACCCAGGCCCACAAGGGGTGATCATCAGGCCCGTATGGCTCCTCCATGCCAAGGTTGTAGGTGGCTACAGATGACAGGCTGCAGGTATCAGCAGCATCCCCACCAGTTCCCATGGTCAGGTGTGTCTGAGCCTCCTCCAGGTCCACGTTGCTCCACTGGGGGTCCAGCTGTCCTGATTGGCTAGAGGAAAGCAGCACATTCGTGACAGCCTTGTCCTTTCCCTCTGTATCTCCCTCCGTACACTCCTCCTCAGGAATGGACGCGGCCTGCGTGAGGGCGCGTTGCCCAATCTGACCTTCTCTATCAGATACCAGCTCTGAGATGAAGCTGTCGCTGGTCACTTTGGGGATTCGTTTTTTAGGGGCCTCATCAGCCTCAGAGGAGGGCGGCACTCCTTCTGCTGCTGCTTTCTCTGTTTCAGAGTCCTGCGACTGCAGGCGGACCTCACCCCCAAAAAAACACCCGGCACTGCAGAACACATTTTAATATTTTTGTTTAAATATTCCCATATGACAACTTGCAATATCATTGATGCTAGAGCATTGCCTGCTTATATAAGGACGGCAGTCTACACACACACACACACACACACACATTATAGCTGCACACTACCACACTTCAAACTGGCATTATCAGACAACACATCAGCTTATGTTATGAATGACACCAGCTGGTGGCCAGAACTGTTGATTTTCCATGTAGTATTCTGGAGGCCAGTCAACCAGTGTCCATGCTGACACAAAGCATGCTGACAGCTCCCCCAGGCTTTCACCACTGAAACAACACCAGACTGTTGTCCTTCACTCACCTCTGCAGGCTGCTAGCACTGGCGCTGGAGTGAGAGCGCTCGGTGTCTCTGGGCACAGACACAGCCTTCCAGGCCTTCCCACTCAGCTCACTGACAGTCACACCCTGGCGGAAATGCACTGCCCGGTCCTCACAGCTGATGCCCCATACCTGCAACATGGCAACATGGTCAGAAACACATCAGGGCCACTGCATACATGCTGCACTGCAGCTCTGTGGTGCTTGTGGGGTATTCAGTCACTGATATGGTTCTGATTTAGATTAAACTAGATGACACTGGAAAGCCAGACCAGTGAACACACACAACTAGAGTAATTCAACCCTGTGTGATTCTGCATCGCTAAAATGGACAATAAAGGAATATTACAGCATTTTTTTTAAATGAACTTTTCTCTACCACATCTATAATGCATGTGCAATTACTGAAGATGCATGGATATCACAAAACCTTAAGAAAAGCGGTAAATATCTGCAATTATTATTATTATTATTTTTTTTTTTACAGTTTCAATCCAGTGTTGGAAATTTGTTCTACACAAGAACAAGTTTGATTATACATTATCTCATGTCTGTCTCATCCTAAGACTTTTCAATTTGCAGTTTGGAATTTCTGTGCTAACTGCACATACACCATCCATGAGATTGAAAAATGCTGGAGCATTCTTTTAATGGTTCCTTATATAAAGAATACCTAGCAGAAAGAAAGAAAAAAAAAAGACCAAAAGAATAAAAAACTATTTTTTTTAAACACCAAGAGCACTAATGACTAAATTGTTTCTCTTTCTTAATAAACTATTTTCAAGAGGTTTACTTAGTCCATAGAAACTCGGCATTATTAATTATAAATTAAATTATCTCAAAACTTGAACTACAAAACTGTGCATTAAAAGTAAATTTCTAATGTCTAACCTGGTCATTGAGGCCCACATTAATCATCACCATCTCCCCAACCATCCCAATCCATCCTGAGCCACACGGATTGTGGGAATTCACACCACGCCTAAACCAGACCTATTATAAAACAGCAGGAAAAAAAAAAAAAAACAATGTCAGATGTTGACAGCTGTAACAAACACAGTGAATGAATAAAGAATAAAGCGCTGTTCAGTAAGTGACTAATCTCTGATTCTTTTCTTACTTTATGATCTTTTGTCACAGCCCACACTACATTGACACCCACTGCTACATGTATAGCTCCGACTTCTGGGCTTGGTGATTCAACTACTACCCATGTGGTGCCTTGTAATGCAGAAATATTTGTTACATTAATATGGCATAAATACAATAACCTATACATTCATATCTTACATTTAATCATATTACAGTGTACTAAATGTATCGCTGTACATACTAACTCACCTTTTGGGCAGTCCCTGCTAATGCCCTCTCTGACCAGGAACTGTCCCTCCCACAGCACCCCCCAAAGAAGGTCAGCCGGCCCACAACTAATCTGCACCACCTCGCCTGGAGTAGGCACCTCCTCCCACACCGAGCCTTCGGGGTTAAAGTGGTTGATGCCATCCCGGAACCACACCTACACCACACCAATACACAGCGAGAGTGCACATAATGTAAATGCATCTTATACAATCAGTCTTATTTTATGTAACTAGCAATTATTTTTAAAAAATCCCATATAATAAAAGTGTAAAAACAGACCCTCCCCTGCAGAGAGACAGCCCACAGAGAAGTACGCCCCCTGGGCTCCTCTGTGAGCTCCCAGCCACCGCAGCTTATATCATTAAATGGGTCTGGCAGGGAACACGTCTGCTCTGTCGGGATCTGGTGAGATACAACACAGAAAGAAAATAAGCAATAACTTCTGACAAGCCAAACAAACATGCAAACATTAAACCAACAAAATAAGACCCAGTTACACACACCTTAGCCCAGGTGTCTTGTGACTTGTACCTCCTGTAGCGTACCCATCGGCGGCGGCGCACGCAAGAGTTCCACTTCTTGTCTTTAGTGTAAGTGGCCGGAAAATCAATAGCATATGTCCAACCCTGCAAATGTGCATTAAATGAGCTACAGCTACAATTGCATCAGCAGCTGATCCAGCATATTCACTTACTCCTTTCTCTGTGGGCTCTCCTCCAAAGTTCTCGTCCACGTACCAGTCAGCCTCCCACTCCCAGTTCTCAGACGGAGGCTGGAAGCTGTCCAGCGGCTGATGCTGCAGCCCCGTCACATCACTCCACTGCCAGCGATCACTAGGCAACAGGCGGTCTGAGAAACCATCCACCGGGTTCCATCGCTGCCACAAACACACAAACAAATGAGACGACTTTCTGTACACATACTGTACACGGTGCTCACGCTGGTTGAGGGTTACCTGATTTTCATAGGTCTCCTCGCGGAAGCGGACTGGCACCTCGCTGGCGTGGACGCACAGGTAGATGTGGTGATCACAGGCGATGCCCCAGCAGCACTGGAGTGCAGCTGTGACGCGTTTGAACTCCAGGTGGGCATCACGGCACTGTTCCCACTGCTGACCTGCTGTCGACAGGCTGTAAACCCTCCCATACACATCTACAGCCCACAGGAGGGTGCTCGGCATGGTGCACTCTGCAACACACATATACACAGCCGGCAAATTAGTGTCACTTACTGAGTAGAGCTGTTGTGGATCCCTGGAGGACTAGTGGTTAGGCCACAGCGCTCTCACCACTGCGGCCCGCGTTTGATTCCTGGCCAGGCAACCAACCCCAGCCAGTGTGCTCTCAGTGCCAGTCCCAAGCCCAGATAATTCCTGTGTCAGGAAGGGCATCCGGTATTAAAAACTGTACCAAATCAAATACGTGGACCAATGACCTGCTGTGGCCACCCCCTAATGGGAGCAGCCGAAAGCGGAACAACAACTGAGTAGCTGAGTAACTGAGTAACAATTCATTAGCTGTTGTACTGGTCTTAATATAATCTCATGTTCTGCTTTCTCCTTTCACTGACATGGGCTGAACTAAGTGCTGAGTTCTCACTAACAATCAAACAGCTGCTTCTGACAAAATATACTTTGATTTTAATTCATTAAAGTCGTAGCTGATCAATTCCCTAAACCACTCCAAGATCCAAGTTTATTAAGTGCTAAGAGTCTCTATGATAATCCGTGACTTACAAGAGTGGAGGTAGGAGCACACAGGTAGACTACATCCTATGTAGAAGAGGCAGTCTGAAAGAGATTAGTGACTGTAAAGTGGTAGTGGGAGAGAGTGTAGCCAGACAGCATAGGATGGTGGTGTGTAGGATGACTTTGATGGTCTGTAAGAGGAAGAGGTCAAAGATAGAGATAGAGAAGAAAACCAAGT